AGATCGTGCCATTGCACTCCAGCCTGGGCGACAAAAAAAAAAAAAAAAAAAAAAAAGAAATGCTGAGACGTGGTGCTCCAGGCCTGCTCCTTTAGTCCCCAGGCACTCCTGCTGTGATAGTGCTTTGCATGCGCCTAGTTTCCTCTTGGGCTACTTCTGGGCAGGGCTGTCTCCCTTGCTTCTCCCTTTCACCCCACTCCTGCTATCTTATCTGCCTCACCTGGTTTGCCTCTTCACTCTAGCACCTGATGATCCTTACCTTATCCATTTGACCCTCCAGTAACAAGAAAAGCCATGTCAAATGTACTGCTTTAGATCTGGACAGTGAATATGCCAAGGGCACAGGGCCTGAGGTTGTGTACCTGCCAGTTTAGGTTTACTCTTTTCAGTCACCGACTACTCCCTAATCCTAGGCAAATGCTTACCATTACCCCTTATAAGTGTTTGTGTGGGTGAGCGGAGTCAGTTCAGAGCTCATGATGTGGGAGTGGTTAGCAGGGCATGAGAGGTATCCTACATTTTGGAATCACACACTCTAGCTGGTTGGAATATGATCTGATGCGTAACAGGTGTGGATGGAGACTTAATGACAGGCTGGAACAGGAGTCAGTGATGGACACGAACTGGGCTGGGGAAATAACCCACAGCCTTGTGAAAGTAGGTTCCTTTGTAGCTATGTTAAGGACTTCCTCAGTGCTCAAGCCTGCCTTTTGTTCCTGCAGTTACGCTATGACGATGAGGTAAAGCGAGTGGTGGCAGAGCCAGTGGAGTTGGCCCAAGAGTTCCGCAAATTTGACCTGAACAGCCCCTGGGAGGCTTTCCCAGTCTATCGCCAACCCCCGGAGAGTCTCAAGCTTGAAGCCGGGGACAAGAAGCCTGAAGCCAAGTAGCTCCAGGGAAGGCGTGTGGATCCTAGAAAGCCCCTTATCTGTAATTGAGTGTCCATGTAAATAAATTCCTACTTAGACTCACCACTTCGTGTGTTTGTGTAATGGGGAGAAGTGATGATACTTTGATGGGGGACACAGGCAAGCAGGGGTGTCTCCCTGCTCCCTTAGAAAGACACTACTAAACCAGGGAGTCTTTTATGTTTTTTTGAGATGGAATCTCGCTGTCACCCAGACTGGAGTACAGTGGTGCTGTCTCGGCTCACTGCAACCTCCATCTCCCAGGCTCAAGCGATTCTCCCACCTCAGCCTCCTGAGAAGCTGGGATTACAGATGCGTGCTACCACACTCAGCTAATTTTTGTATTTTTTGCAGAGATGATGGTGTTTCACCATGTTGCCCAGGCTAGTCTCGAACCCCTGGCCTCAAGTGATTCACCAACATCAGCGTCCCAAAGTGGTGGGATTATAGGCATGAGCCACCATGCCTGGCCACATGTATTTCTGAGAGGAATTCTGGAGCTGTAATCAAAAGTTCTCATAGTCCACAGGGTTCAGGATGGGTGCGGCATGGTAGCCCATCACTCTTGATCTATAGGAATCTTCCTGGTTTTTGGCCTGAGCTGAGAAATGGTGGAGTTTTTTTTGAGACAAGGTCTTCTCTGTCACCCAGGCTATAGTGAGTACAGCAGTGTGATTAGGGCTTACTGCAGTCTAGACTGCCTGGGCTCAGGTGATCCTCCCACCTCAGCCTCCTGAGTAACTGGGACCACAGGTGTCTACCACCACACCCAGCTAATTTTTTTACTTGTAGAGATGAGATCTCACCATGTTGCCCAGACTGGTCTTGAACTGGGCTCAGCCATCCTCCTGTCTTGGCCTCCTAAAGTGCTGGAATCACAGGCATGAGCCACTGTGCTCGCCCTGAATTAAGAATGTTGTTAGGAAACAAGAGGTCCCAGGGTGGGGCAAAAACTACTCAGGAGCTGCAGATTTGTCTGTCTGCCAGGGGATAGTACTCCTTAGCCCAGCTGATTGGATCTGTTCAGCCTGTAGCAGAGTGCCTGAGAGGGGAGAGTTTGGCTCTGCCTGTGTTTAGGGCCGCCCAGCCAGCCCGCCATGCAGTTGGAAGACTGCAGCTGATGCATTTGGCAGCTGAGGGGCTCCTTGAGGCTGGGCTGGGCCAGACTGGGTGTCAGGGCTGGCCTCAGTTGCAGGATGTTTTGAGGGTGAAGACAGTAAGGTGGTCCTACTGCCTGGGCTTTCCTACCCTTTGGGAGGGCCAAGCCAGAGCTATTTGCTACCAAACACCTTTTTCCTATTAACTAAGCATACCGCCCATCTGGGCAGGAACAAGCTGAGGGCCTGACAAGCAGGGAGCCAGGTTCCTGCCAACAACCAGATTCCCCATTTCTAAAGAATGGAAAGAGCTCCTGGGAGGTGACCAAGGCCACAGCCAGCCCCTCCCTGTTGAGCACTGAAGACTGACGTGCATTACAGAGCTCTGGAGCAGCCTGCAGTGGAAAGTTGAAGCCGAGGTGTGTGGCAGGCAGATGAGGGAGCAGAGAGCTGCTGAACAGAGAGACTCAGAGGACGTGGTGAAGCATGGCTGTGACCCTGCAGTTCCTGGCTTGCCTGGTGGTAGCCATTTGTCTCCTCTCTGTTGTGTCTACAACCCAGCACCATGCAGGTACCAGGGCTTCAGGGTGGGTGGAGAGGAGCCAAAGAAGGCTGCCAGCTGACAGCAGTTAACAGTTGGGGAGGCTAGTTGGGCATAGGAAGTGTGGGCATGGTAGGTACCAGGCTGATGTGTGCTGTGGTGGGTGATAGTGTGGGCCCCACCCCCAGAACTGAAAAGGTACAGGTGACACCTAGGGAGAGAGCCCTAAGTGCTCTTAATGCTGGCCCTGGGCTCATTCCCGCTGATGCCCAAAGCAGAGTCTTTTGACCTGCCTGGGCTTGGAACAAACATTGCAAGGGTGAGGCAACATCCCAAGGTGTGGGCTGGAGGGAGTTGCCACAGACATCCTCCCCTGCCCTGTCCTCGCTGCCTCACAAGGATCTACCGCTGAGGAGGAACAGGGAAAGAGTAGGCTCTTCCCAAAGAGGTCCTTGTCCTTGGGAGAGTAACTGGCACTGTTTTAGGTGACTCTGCCCTCAGATGATTATAGGGAGGGGAGGAGGGTGGGGAAGGGTCTTGTAACCCGTTGGCCTGGAGCTCTTTACCAAGGGCATTGTGCAAGTTAAGGGAGGAGTCCTGGGCATTTGCCAACATGGTAACTGGGCTTGGGATGATGCTTTTGAGATCACAAGACCTATGCTTGGGAGGGTGAATGTCAATGTGCATGTGTGTGCATGAGAGGGAGGGGAAAAGGGGGCATGGGATGGCATTCCTGCCCTTTTGTAGCATGATGAACTGCTCAGGACCCCTACCAGGCAGCAGAGGGGCACTTCTGGGAGGTTGGGTGTTCACGGTGTAGCATGGCAGGGGCCTGACTCCTCTCTGCTGCCCCAGGGCAGCCCATGGACAGCACCAGCGTGGGAGGTGGCCTGCAGGAGCCAGAGGCCCCGGAAGTGATGTTTGAGGTCTTTCCTCCCAGCCTGGGACATGGGGGTGGGCATGTCCAGAGGTCCCTAAGCTCAGGGTTGGGAAGGGGGATGTCTCAGGGTGGGTCTGCTAGGGTTGGGGGGACAAGCCAGCATGGGTCCTACTGCCTGCTTCTGCCCCCTCCCCCTGCCCACTCTTGCTCCCTGCCCTGCTCCCCAGGCCACAGCCTACCCCTTACATGGCTCCCCTTGCAGCTGCTCTGGGCTGGGCTGGAGCTCGATGTCATGGGGCAGCTGCATATCCAGGACGAGGAACTAGCCTCCACACACCCAGGCCGCCGACTCAGGCTCCTCCTGCAGCACCACGTGCCCAGTGACTTGGAGGGCGCTGAGCAGCGGCTGCAGCAGCTCCAGGACCTGCGAAAGGGGCCTCCTCTTAGCACTTGGGACTTTGAACATCTGCTCCTCACCGCCCTGTCCTGCATCTACCGGCTCCACGCAGCTAGTGAGGCTGAGGAACGGGGCCGCTGGGCCCAAGTCTTCACTCTCCTGGCACAGGAAACACTCTGGGACCTGTGCAAGGGTTTCTGCCCCCAGGACCAGCCCCCTTCCCTGGGTCCCTGGGCCTCCGTCCTTGACCCCTTCCCCTGACCCTCCCCTTTTGCTCTTTCACCTGCCATTACCCCCACCCCCTTCCCCTCAACTCCCCAGGCAGACCCATCTTGGGCAGGGGCTTCTGTCTGGCACCTAGTTCTTTTCACTGTGTTCAGATCTCTGGGCTTGGCTTGCGACATCCCCTCCCTGCTTACCCTGACCAGATCTTGTTTCTTGGATCTTGAGAGGCTAAGAACCCAGGCTTTGGGTTCCAAGGAGTAGGCACAGAGCTAAGGGCATGACAGGCAGGCAGGGGTGTGTGGACATCAGGAGTCAGGTTTGAGAAGTGTGTTCAAGAGATGCTGAAAGGGAAGCTGTCCCAAGTAAGGCCAGGTCAGATCCTCCAACTGCTACCCTGGCAGTCTGTGACGGTCCTGTGGAATTCACAGGAATCCTCTAGGTGCTGAGCATCCCCTTTTAAGCACAACCAAGGATCTGGGGTCCCCGAGCCTCCAAGTTCCCATCTGGGTTGGGAGAATAGATTAGACTTGAGCTCTGTCTGTTGGAGGAGTGGAGGGAAGCAGGCGGAGGGAGGCAGTATCTCAACAAGTGTCGAGTGAACACCTCAGAGGAGGGAGTAAGGCTGGGAGAAGACCAAGGAGAGACAAGCGGAGGTGGGCTGGAGCAGGTGCGGCCCTGATTCTGTGTTGCTCTTCTCATTAAATGTTCTGTTTCGGCCTCCCAGAGCCTGTGTCATTCTATGTCGGAGTAAGCTGTCCCCTGCTCTGGGCAAATCACTCGCCCCATCCAGGGAAGGCAAGAGTCAGGACAAGGAGGTATCAACTCCTCATCCCATTCCCACACCCTGCTAGGAGGAGGAATACACTGTTTCCTTGAATTCCATGCCCCCAGTGGGCCAATGGGGTGCTGTCCCTTGTCACAGAAAGGCATCAGCGGGGTACTAAGGTTGAGGTCATCGGTCAGTGAGGAGTCAGAGGGCTGGACAAGGCAAGGATAGGAAAGGGCGGCCCCAACGAGCTAAACGAACGTGGTTTCACCAAATTCCCACCTTCTCGCTCTCCCAGGGTCTGAAGGGACCCTGTGCTCCAACCTTCAACCCTCTCCCCGGGCCTGTGGGCCCCTGGTAGTCAGCGCCTGCCCACCCATCCCCGGAGAAGGCATCGTAGTCAAGACAGCGCAGGGGCCTGGGCTGTCGGGCGCCGCGCGGGCCCGCTTTCTTCTTTATTGTCAGAGTTCAGGCGCGCCCAGCAGCTGTCGCGCTCGCGCGGGGCGTTCGGGCCGCGGACCCGGCTCGGCATGCACCCCCCTGGCCCTCCCGGGCTCCTCTCCGGCCCGGGGCTCACAGCAGCTCCCGGGCCGCGAGGCCTGGCGGATCGGCGGGGTCGAGGTCGGGGTACACCAGGAAGCCAGAGAAGGTGATGTACTTGCCGTGGTTGCTGTAGGCGCCGTAGCCGTCGTGGTCGTGGCTGAGCAGCCAGACGGCGTCGCCACGCCGCAGGGCCAGCATCACGCTCTGACTCTGCATCTCGCGGCGCCGCGACGCGCCGTCGTCGTAAATCATGGCCTGCACCTCATCGCGGTTCTTCATCAGCTTCACCGACAGGGTCTTGCGCGGCAGCTTGCCCAGCGTGAAGGAGAAGAAGTAGGCGCCGGGCAGTCGGCAACGGAACACGCCAGCCGCCACGTCGAAGTCGCCGCCGATGTTGACCAGCTCGGTGTCGAAGGCCAGCGGCTGGTGCCGCGGTCCGGGACTCGCGTCCGAGCCCACCAGGCTGCGCGTGCGCGCCGCCGAGAAGGCCGAGCGTGGCTCGGGGGGCGCGGGCGGTCCGCGCGCAGGCGCGTCGGCGTCGGCGTCGGCGTAAACCAGGTAGCCGCTGAAGGTGGCGCCGGGCGCGCCCAGCGCGTACTGCGGGGCACCGTGCA